AAAAAAAAAAAAAGATTTACAAGACTTGATTCCTTTCCCTCACTTCCCAAACTGCTCTCCTATAGATAGTCCTGAACTTTTCTCATCAATGAAATCCTCATGGGTATCTAAGCTATAGAGAATTATCTGTCCATTCTTTAAGGGGACTCAAGTTCTTCTATTCTTTTTTAGTGACCTTTTTCTCTCCTCTTTTGAAGCAAATTCTGTTTTCTATAGTCACTTTCAGGTGATGCCATCAAATCTGCAATGTCCTGCCATCCTCTGATTATAAAGTAGGGCAGAACTGGAGGTTGCCAAGGGAAACCAGATTACCATGCGTAACATATAAAATTAAATCAAATGTCTTCACTACCTGAGATTTGCTAAAGGGTTTTTCCTTCCTAATCCTCTGCAGGCTTCCTGCTCAAGCATGCCAGCAGGTTGGACAGAACTAATCACATAGCAGGGGCTGGAAGGCTGAATCCCAAAGAAGTCAGTGTTGCTCAATTATTCAATTTTTACTACATGCTAATAATGTCCTGGACCTGCTTCTGCTGAGGAAGAAAAGTACATTTCTCTCTTTCAGGTCACCAAGATAATTTTAATAAATGTTCTATTCCTCAGTGGGAAAAAAATCATTCTCTAGAGTAAGCAATTTAATTCTTCCTCCCCAACAGAACCAAGTGACATTAAAGTTATCAAGTTTAATCAAATTTGGCACCAAAGGCAATATGTCACCTCCTGAAAATTCAGGAACCACACAACTTAATCCTGGACTCTGCTTTCACGTTATTGGAGAATTCTAGGCAAGCGCTAAATAGAGCAGTTGAATAACCTGCTTGCTAAAGTGCTTGTGTACTCTGGTAACACACACACACACACACACACACACACACACACACACACACACACACACCATGGAAAGTCTATGCCTGGGAATGGCTTTAGAGCTTAGAGTTCTGAGCACCAAACAATGAGTGTGTGTAACAGTAAGGTCAGAAATTGAGGCTGACTTAAGCAGAGGTGGCAGGAAGGAAGGATGAGAACGAGAGGCATTAAAAATGGCATGTTGGGGAGCTACAATTCAGTAAAGCTGGTGCTTAGGGTATATACAATGTGTGCATAAATGTGAGTAGGGGTTCAACAACTAGAGATGAAACTGGAAAGGTCAGTAGGTTTTAAGTGCTGAGCTATGGCATGACTCCAAAGAATGAAACTATAACAGAACAAGTGCCACATTTATGTATATGTAAAGTCCCATGGCAGCACAAAGAATGGACACCATTTGATTTTTTGACATTTGATCTTGTATAGTTCATCAAGTCACAATATAACCATCATCTGCACACTATTTTTCTTACATGGTAGCTTAAGAAGAAAATAAAATAGTTCTTATACCAAATTACTTCATTATCATACATGGGAAAATATACTGTGGGGATAGAGAGGAGTACAGAGCTTTAAGAGATAACAGAGACAGACTGCCAGGACTTGGTGACCAGCAGTGATACTATGGTTTCTAAATTACCACTACTGCCCTTTTTTTTTTTAAGTTTTTATTTATTTATTTGACAGAGACAGCACAAGCAGAGGGAGCAGCAGGCAGAGGGAGAAGCAGGCCCCCCGCTGAGCAAGGACCCAGGACCCCGGGATCATGACTTGAGCGGAAGGCAGATGCTTAACCAACTGAGCCACCCGGGCGTCGCACCACTAATGCCCTTTTTAAAACTCTAAAATCTTTTGAATCCTACACATCTCCTGTACTCATTTATAACAACAAAGATAATACAAATACAGACTTGTACCAACAGGAAAATGACAACAGTTGTGTGGGCAGCTAGTGGTAGAGACCCTTGCTCTCTCTTCTCCCAACACACACACACACACACACACACACACACACACACATTTATGTCTTCTACTTGCACACAAATCGGCACCTGAGAAGTAGGCTCAACAATGAGGTCAGTAACGACAGTCACTCTTCTTTCCTCTTCCCACCCAGCATGCCTGCCCAACCTTTCCTTCTCCCCCTCCCCCAGCCTGCTACAACCATGAGTATCTGCCTCACCAGGGCCCGCTCCTCACTTTGTATCAGGTTTGGTGTCAGGCGTGGTGGGAGAAAGAGGAAGGTAAGAGAGGCGGGAGGAGAATGCATGCCTATAACCATTGCTGGACTCCACCATGTAGCTGAGGTAAAGACTCCTCGCCCACGTCTGCTCAGCTCCACCACCTCCCTGCCTCAATCTCACTCTTCTTTTCCGGAGTCTCTAATGTCACACCCATGATGTAATGACTAACAGACGGAGTCTGGGTATCTCTTTTGATGAATAAAACATCATCTATGTTTGAAAACCTACCCATATGCTCTACATTATCTTTCCCTACAGGGTTGAGGGGGACATAAACCCTTCTCACTCCAACTTTTCCTACTACTGTTGGTAATACAAACTTTCGGATAGCATTAAAAAGATTGAACTTTTTATTTTTCACATGGCAAGAGGGGAAAAGCAGGACAAATCAGCACAGACAGAATGAATCTGTGGGCCAAATTAGGTTGTACAGCTCTACTGACCTAGTTCACAGGGGAATTCTATTTCTGAGTTGTAAATTTGTGAGTTGTGAGTTGTGAATTTTAAGAAGAGAATTTCTATTGTATTTTCTAATATTCTAGGTGCTGATGTTCACCTAGCTCTGAAGGATTTAATCAGAAATAATCACAAGAGGAAATTCTATGGGGATGGGAAGGTGGGGT